AATCAGCTGCTGCTGAGAGAATCACACTAGAAATGGGCTAACGCCTCGCAGACAGCGCTCTCACTGACCACATGGCACACGTTGAAAATTTTCGATTGAAAATGCCCTTTTGCTTGCAAAGTTCACCACTTACGTTCGCGAAAACTTCACACAAATTGTAAGCCGTTTTGTAGCGATTAAATCCGCGGATTTCCACAAAAATTACAGTTTTGATTGGAGTTCCAGAAAAACACGTCCGTCGATAATCCATTAATTAGTTCTTTAGTAGTAATTTGTAATTAATGTCAGTTGCTGTGGTAAACAATAGGATCGGTTTGTGTAATATGATAGGAGTTAACGGATCAATACAATATCAAAAAAAGTTTTGACTTCCTTTGAACTTCTGTTACGAAATAATCTGAAAACTCATGTTGCCATGGGATACTATTAAAATGTTAGAAAGCGCTTTGAATATATGACAATTATGGAAATGACGGAGGTTCGGGTCCCCAAAAAGATCGCACCACGTTTGTTGCAACAGAGACAAATGAACATCGTATTTGTGGCCGAGTATGCATCTAAAAAATCACTGCAGTCTTCGATGAAGAGCTTGCGAAATTTTTCACTGGCTTTTTTTATGATTACTTACACATATTAACTTCAGCTTTATTGAAGGGATACGACGTCCTTCCCTCGTTGTCCTCGTTGACAACGGTTTTCGAGTCGTCTCGAATGAGACCTAGGATATTATGGTGGCGTCCGTTAGGTTGAGCCAAAGCTCTTCCCAGAATCACCTTTGCTAACACCCGGAAGTGCTTGTCTGTTACGACCGCGCCTGTCACAAGACACCAACCACTGACTCCACAATACCTTCTAGCCACACCAGGTACTGGTCGTCCCCTCCTGCCGTATCTTCACCGTGTAGATCCCCACGTTGCACTGCTCCCATACTCTCAGTGATTTGCCTTGTACTTCCGCTCCTGACGCGATTTATCACTCAGCGCATTCTAAATTACTGATTCCTTACTGTGCCCTTACGGTGCCCTTTCTCACTGACTGGTTTCTTAGCTGAGTAACGGTTATCTGATAGTCTTGAAACTCTACTATAGCACTCTCTCCTCTTAAGTTTATATTATTTACACTCAAAAAATAATCAATACTACCATATCAAACTTTCACTAACAAAATGTGCAGCGTTTATTTTGTCGAAATACTTATGCCTACTAGTGTAGTTCCCCCTTAAAAATTTTTATTTGAGCAAGCGAGAATACTATAGTCGACATCCTCGATTATCAGGTATATTTATTTATATGATGTATTCTTGGCATTTCTATATTAGCAAGAAATTAATAAAATACTTTTCAAATGTGTGGTCGTACCGATTATAGGCGGCTTGTGGGCGTTAGCGTGGACGTGTCAACATTTTAAAACAAACTAGTATCTGCATATGAAATTTTTTCTTTATAACTTGTATAGTTCCCTAGATCACAGCTTTTATGCGAAAAGACGGAAAGACATGGACACATGGACTCGGCTAGTGATCCTGATCAAGAATATATGTTCTTTATAGGGTCCGGTACGCTTCCGTCTATCTGTTACATACTTTTTAAAGAATCTAGTATACCCTTTTACTCTACGAGTAACGGGTAGATTACTCAATGAATCTTTACAATATTTGATTTTGGATTTTTAAATATTCAGTACATAATTAAGAAGTTTATTTCATATACAAACTTTTTAATAACTTAAAATTCGAATTGGAACACAAGATTTGTTCTTAACCTTACTTTTAATTTGAAAAAATATGACGCATTGCAAGTTTTGTTAAAATATGTTCTTGCTTTTTTCGCTGAGGTTTATATTGAGCCGCATGTACTACAATTTTTTTGCAGGATGGTTAAACTTAATCGTAAAAGTAATCAATGAATTATACAACTAAAGAGTATTTTTGGTTTTCTTTATTAAATTCTCGACATGAAAATAAAATACACCAGATTGGCTGTGCTCACAAACACATTTAAGTTTAATAAGGAATATTTTTAAACAGGCAATTTATTTCTTTAACATCGTTTTTAGCAATACCAAGACCATTTCTAAGGAAGATTAAGTAAAGAAAATAAAAGAAATCGTTAAAGTACGTAGCTCATATATTTTATATATATATTTTATACATATAATTCGATTTGAAGCTGTTTTGGAACAACATGCGGATATAACCTGCTAGAGTGACAACTTAGCCACCATGTGAGTCTTTAGTACTGCATTTTCAACATTTATCGTTTTAAGAGCTCACTTGACTCTGCTAGCATCTGGAATGCAGTGGATTGCTAGCCTTCTTACCGACAGTTGCCATAGAACCATCAGCACAATTCTAGTATCTCCTAGAGGGCATAACAGCAATCAATGATATTCAAAACTACACTACCTCTATTATCGCATAATATCCGTAATACCCGTGAAAGACAGGAAGCTGTAATCGATGCATAGCTAAGACCCCAATTATCGAAGACATCTGTAATGGAGATTAACTTATTAAGTTAGTTTCTGCGATGTGTAGTGCTACCTAATAAATACAAATGATTTAACCATCAAGCTGAACACTAAACTTATGTGTGAATCTATTATCTGAATTTATTATCTGAATTGCCATGTGATGTTATACCACGAACCGTTTCCAATCGTCCATTTCGCTCTATGAGCTTCTTGTAGTTGGCTGAGGTACGTCCCAGCTCGACCACTAAAGGCTCTATAGCAACATCGTCATCACGATGTGCATCTTGGAGTCGGCGACGAAGTCTCCCGACTTCGCGCCTCGTTGACGATTGTCACGTCGATATCACTACGAGCTTTGTATTTATCGAACGTGTACACCTCTGTTGACAGGTTTAGGGCGGCAGCTCTTGCCGCCTCCAGCATCGGACAGCAGCTCACCCCGACTGTAGTTAGCTTGCCCCTCGGCATGCTGAGAGAGTTTGCTAAGCCACATGGTTTAGCATGCATTCGCGTCGGGCCCAGGATTGTGGGTGTTCTGCTGGTACAGTTTCTGAAGGTTCGGTTCCAAAGGTGCTTCGAATTGGCAGTATGCTGAGCAAAGAAATATTGAGCCAAAACTCCCTTTTACGACCACACATACGCCATACTCTGTGGTGAGGGTCTCCACTGGCACACAGATGGCATCCTGCTGGTCCACTAGAATGGCTGCCTTCCCTCGCCGGTCGGTGAAAATCCTCATTCCTTCAGGCAGCACATCCATCCCATCCTGTCTTCTGAGTCGGACACCAAACGCGATGGTCGCATGCGCTCGAGATCGCACTTTGGTACTTTGCTACAGTGTAGCCTTGTTGCCCGCAGTGGCGGCAGACGTTGGCCTTCTGTCACCATTCGCCTACCTTGTGGTCAAAGCCCACACATCTGTGACAGGCACAGGTCCGGACTTGCGATCGGCATCAGAACGAGAACCACTTGATGTACATCCGACATGCTTCGCCATCGCCCTGTCGTCGACTTCTAGCAATACTTTAATTGTGCCGTAAGCCACCGATCTCTTTTGCAGATCTCAGACTAAGGGTGTGCGGATAATCGCTCCACCGGCTCTCCGGAGTTCACGCAACTCGTGAACCCTGATTCCGAGCAAGGGTGCAGCCATACATGGCTGCACATACATACATACAGCCCATGCAGCCGCACTTCACCACCGCTGACCACGTCTAGCGAACCTTCGTGGTCCGCGGGGTAGCGATAGGTGCTACATGCATCAGATGGGGAGGGTTGGCAGCAGTAGTCATCGACGGGTTCGGCGGCGGTGGCTTATCCAGCCGCGTCTCCAGCTCTCCACACCGGAGCATCAATGCCATTACCAGCTCGTCGTAACGGCTGATGATCAAGGTGAGCTCATCCGTGCTAGGCTGCGAAAACTTTGCACCGTACGCTGGGTGGACGACAGCTCTGCCATCATGGCTACTTGCCTAGCACGGGCGGCAGCCTGCGTTGGCGCCGAGCTCTTTGAATCCAGTCAACTTCTTTGACGTACTGCTGGCGCTCATGGCGCTCGCACTGCTGTCGCTCTCCATCCGACTTACCCCGATAATCGTGGCTCCTCCTTCCGTCGACTCAAGCAACCAAGGTTCGCTGACACAAGCTGACGCTGATGCTACGACGCACTGGCTACACCTATTAAGAGTGGCGCCAATCAACCAGCATTAAAGAATCCCAAGACGCGGTCCACAACCAATCAGCTGTTGCTGACGGAATCCCACGAGAAATGGCCCACGTGGAAAATTTTCGATTGAAAATCGTCGATTTGCACGCCACTCGATGCCCTTTTGCTTACAAAGTTCACCACTTACGTTCGCGAAAACTTCACACAAATTGTAAGCCGTTTTGTAGCGATTAAATCCGCGGATTTACACAAAAATTACAGTTTTGATTGGAGTTCCAGAAAAACACGTCCGTCGATAATCCATTAATTAGTTCTTTAGTGCTAATTAGTAATTAATGTCAGTTACTGAAGTAAACATTTGTGTAATATGATAGGAGTTAACGGATCAATACAATATCAAAAAAAGTTTTGACTTCCTTTGAACTTCTGTTACGAAATAACCTGAAAACTCATGTAGCCATGGGATACTTTTAAAATGTTAGAAAGTGCTTTGGATATATAAGAGTTATGAAAATGACGGAGGTTCGGGTCCCCAAAAAGATCGCACCACGTTTGTTGCAACGAAGGCAAATTAACATCGCATGCATATAAAAAATCACTGCAGCCTTTGATGAAGAGCTTGCGAAATTTTTCACTAGCTTCTTTTATGATTACTTACACAGATTTACGTCAACTTTATTGAAGGGATACGACGTAGTTCCCTCGTTGTCCTCGTTGACAACGGTTTCCGAGCCGGCTTGAATGAGACCTAGGATATTATGGTGGCGCCCGTTAGGTTGAGCCAAAGCTCTTCCCAGAATCACCTTTGCTAACACCCGGAAGTGCTTGTCTGTTAGGACCGCGCCTGTCACAAGACACCAACCACTGACTCCACAATACCTTCTAGCCACACCAGGTACTGGTCGTCTCCTCCTGCCGTATCTTCACCGTGTAGATCCCCACGTTGCACTGCTCCCATACTCTCAGTGATTTGCCTTGTACTTTCGCTCCTGACGCGATTTATCACTCAGCGCATTCTAAATTACTGATTCCTTACTGACGGGTGCGCGTTCACTAACTAATTTCTTACTGATCGTTTCCCTTTCTCACTGACTGGTTTCTTAGCTGAGTAACGGTTATCTGATAGTCTTGAAACTCTACTATAGCACTCTCTCCTCTTAAGTTTATATTATTCACACTCAAAAAATAATCAATACTACCATATCAAACTTTCACTAACAAAATGTGCTGCGTTTATTTTGTCGACATACTTATGCCAACTAGTGTAGTTCCCCTTAAAAATTTTTATTTAAGTAAGCGAGATTATTATAGAATACTATCCTCGATTATCAGGTATATTTATTAATATGATATATTTTTTGGCATTTCTATATTGGCAAGAAATTAATAAAATACTTTTCAAATGTGTGGTCGTACCGATTATAGGCGGCTTGTCGGCGTTAGGGTGGACGTGTCAACATTTTAAAACAAACTAGTATCTGCACATGAAATTTTTTCTTTATAACTCGTATAGTTCCCTAGATCACAGCTTTTATGCGAAAAGCCGGAAAGACATGGACACATGGACTCGGCTAGTGATCCTGATCAAGAATATATGTTCTTTATAGGGTCGGGTACGCTTCCGTCTATCTGTTACATACTTTTTAAAGAATCTAGTATACCCTTTTACTCTACGAGTAACGGGTAGATTATTACTCAATGAATCTATATAAGATTTGATTTTGGATTTTTAAATATTCAGTACATAATTAAGAAGTTTATTTCATATACAAACTTTCTAATTACTTAAAATTCGAATTGGAACACAAGATTTGTTCTTCATTCTTGAACCTTACATTTAATTTGAAAAAAGATGACGCATTGCAAGTTTTGTTAAAATATGTTCTTGCTTTTTTCGCTGAGGTTTATATTGAGCCGCATGTATACAATTTTTTTGCAGGATGGTTAAACTTAATCGTAAAAGTAATCAATGAATTATACAACTAAAGAGTATTTTTGGTTTTCTTTATTAAATTCTCGACATGAAAATAAAATACACCAGATTGGCTGTGCTCACAAACACATTTAAGTTTAATAAGGAATATTTTTAAACAGGCAATTTATGTCAACAGGCAATTTATTTCTTTAACATTGTTTTTAGCCGTACCAAGACCATTTCTAAGGAAGATTAAGTAAAGAAAATAAATCGTTTAAGTACGTATTTTATGAGGCAACTTTTAAGGTACATATATTTATAAAAAAATAAATAAATGGCTATAAATTATAATTATATATAAACTCATACACCGTTTTGGGAAAGCTTTTTGTTAGCCATCAATTCCCTCAAAACGATAGCATATAAACTCAATGCTTACACATTTTTTAGTTCCATTTTTTCTACAAGTTTAAAGATAAATTTATGTAGGAAAAGAAAATATAAGGCAATAAATGCATTTATATATATTCATGCACTGTTTGGAAAAGCTATTTGGTACATAAAATGGGAAAGGTGAAAATATTTGTTGAACGATATCAATTGGTTTACGCTTTTTAGTACAACAAATAATTTTTTATAATTTTAACAACTGCTCGTATATAAATGTGGCCTGCATTTTCTGTTTAGGGCTTACTTTGCCTGATTTCGCATTTATCATCTAGCTTTGGCAAAAGGGGCGTGGAAGCAGCTGTCGTATCCTTGTCATCGCGGTTTCCACTGTGAAGGTCCTCTACTTCAGAAGCATCTAAACCTATGCTTGTTGAGACATTTTCCGCATGCTTTAAGTTTTTTAATTTCCTGTCGTCTTGCATGGCTTCGTCGATACTATTATATATCAAATCAGGAGACTTATTTATATTTGTTGTGGAAGAATTTATACTTCGGTTAGGTATAGATTGACGTCTCGTACTTTGATTTGATGCAAGGCAAGAAGGCTTTTCATCCTCTGTTATAGAGTGTAATAGACGTTCCACTTCGTCATCGAATGTCTCACTGGAAAATGTTCCTGACTTTCGACTTTTTTCCAACAATGTAGCCTTTTTTGCAGTAAGATACAGAACCCTTTTAATAGTAATATAAATCACATCCGATATAGCACGAACTGAGTAATCAGGTACAAAGGATTGGCGTATTTTTGAGTCCATATTTAAGGACTGCAAAGAACCCATTTGTGTTGGAGAGTCTAGAAAAAAATATTAAAGATTTAATTATTAAGTTCGTAATAATTTATAATAATTTATTTGTTATTAATAAAATAAGACAGTTCGCTATAGTCGAGTTACACGACTATTCCGGTTACTCTGCAAATCGAAGTACGAGAGTGATGGGTTTATAAAAACAGTATACGAATGCTTTAGCATGCTATAAGGTGACGGCTCTTTTCAATAAGCTTAATAAACTATTTTTTGCTTAATTTTAGATTACTTTAAGCATGTGCGAGACAGACCATAAAGTGTTTGAAACGTACAGCCAGCAATTTTATTTTGGACCGCAAAATAGCAATATTTTTTTTAAAATTCACGGTTTTACAATATATGGAAATGATCTTCATTATATTCCACAATGCGGTCTCCAGATATACTGTCTACTTCCTGAGCACGGTATCGAGTAGATGCTGATGGACTGCCGCCGTAAGGATAAAGGTTAACTAGTTTCGATGACTGTATGAACGTCGAGATCATGAGATTAATCATGCAGGTTCGAGTGACAAGAGTGACAACTCATTGCATTCAACAGAGCCTGTCGCCAAGACTTCAGATCCTCATATGATAACCACACAGTCCAACTAGTTAATTCACTAGTTGTGATGACCTAGGCAGACGATTTGTGTACTCCATGCTACGCATCTAAGACGTCAGCCGCTGTGGTAAACCTAACAGAAAAGAGTTTCCGTATCCATTGGGAATCTAAACTAGACACTCTCTCTTGAAGTTGGATTATAATGATTGTAATCGTTATCAAATTCCGAAGAAATACCAAATAAGCAATTGGTGAAACCAGGAACAACCATACCGTTGACATAATCACTCTTTTGGAAGTGTTGGTCTTCTATGACCATTTTCGCTTGAGTATAGGAGATGTCATAGCAAATAAAACACATCCAACCGGTCAGAAGTGAAGAATGGCAAGATAATATAGTGAAAGAGCAGCAAGCAGTCTGAGAGGTATTCAAACATTCAAGAAAAGGGGCTCTGGAAAAATTTTACCATACATTATACCTGATCAGCCGCCTACTCAGTTGAATTTGTCAAATTTTTAAGCCTCGAGCAATATTTCTTGATGAGCCAGGAAGGACTGACATGAGCAGAGCATTACTATTCATTGCTCCTGCTCCAGCCGGAGGCTCAATTATTCAAATGTAAAACTTGGATGGATATTAGCTGGAAGAGTGTTTTCGGAGCATGATTCAACGCTGGTGAATGGGATGGGAAAACTATGTTGCAGAATGACGGCTAGTATAAGTAAGGAATAACAACTTGCCGGTGGCGAATTCGGGCGATATGAAGGATTGTTCGGACTTATCCTGGCAAGAACGACCTCATACGAGTAGTAGACGTAAAAACTTCATCTGGCATATTTAAAAGACCAGTGACTCGTCTTGCTTTTAAAGAAAAATAAAAATCTTATTTGATAAATACATTACAAAAGTAATCCCAACACAAAAGAAGACAGTTAACTGTCAAGTACTCCCAATTATGCTGGCAATGATACTTGTCCATCTACTTGTGTTAGGACATCCTATAACTGTGACGCAGTCTAGCAACCAACGCTCATTCTACGAATGAGTTCGCACTGCAAGAATGGCAATTTCAGAATGCGCCATCATTGTATACTACGATTTGAAGATGTTTTGGAATAACATGCGGATATAACCTGCTAGAGTGACTGAACTTAGCCACCATGTGAGTCTTTAGTACTGCATTTTCCGCATTTATCGTTTTAAAAGCTCAGTTGACTCTGCTAGCATCTGGAATACAGTGGATTGCTAGCCTCCTTATCGACAGTCGCCATATAACCATCAGCACAATTCTAGTATTTCTAGAGGGCACCACAGCAATCAATGACACATTATTCAAAACTACACTACCTCTGTTATCACATAATACCCGTGAAAGACAGGAAGCTGTAATCGATTCATACTTAAGACCCCAATTATCGAAGACAATAAGTTTCTGCGATGTGTAGTGCTCCCTAATGAATACAAATGATTTAACCATCAAGCTGATAACAACACAACTGTCGGAATCGGATGAACTATTATTCAGAAAAGACTGTCGAAACTAAAGACATCAGAGTTTTTAACTCAATTCACAACTATACCGTATCCACAACTGTACCGCAGAACAGAGCTTTGGCAATATAACCTATTTTGATTATGGCATGTCTTCTCCAAAGGCATTCAACAAGTGGAAGCCAAGGAAACGTCTCCGTGGAACCCCGGAGCTGATTCATCACCGTTACCTACCCCACACAGTTTAGGTTTGCGTTCAGAATTACTAATATTTAACGGCCGAAAGAATGTTTAATCGCAGCTTATATGTATCTGAATTATCAAAAATTAGCGATGGTTAAACCTGTCCAACGGCCTGGAAAATGTTCAATCGCAGCAATATGTGTACCTCAGTTCAACGTAGTCTCAAATATCAGATCATGCAGTCAACGAACAATATCGTGAACAACTTACTGCCACAAGCATATTCTGATGAATAAACAAAGTCAGTTGTAGTGTGGTAAATCTATATTCCCTAATCTAAATCTATTGTGGTAATATTTATTGACATAAGCTTTTTTTTTTATACCTTGGTACCTATAAATACCGTTAGGTTTAGTCAATATAATTTGTTACAGTTTTGACAAGGAAGACATTGCAACTCATTCAACAGCAACAGCCAGCTAACACTTCAGATCCTCATAACTTAATCACTGAGTACAACTGGCTTATGTTTTACTTGCGACGACCTAAGGCAGACTGTTTATGTAATGTATGCCAGGCTTCTAAGCCGACAATTGAAGAGGTGTCAAGGCAGAATCACAATATATGCCTAATAATTGATTAAGAAAATGCAGCAATACTGACAAACATAAAAAAACAAGATAGAATGCTATAGTCCCCGACTATCAGATACCCGTTACTCAGTTAGTGAGTGCAAACGAGAAATTTCACCATTTCCTGGAATAGTGGCAGAAATTGGGAAAGAAATAATAATATTATAATAAAAGTAAACATTTTTTAAATGTGGGCGTGAGAGTTTTGTGAGCGTTGAAGTTGTGGTTGGAGTGGGCGTGGCAAAAAGGTTTTGGCAAATCTATAGAAAATTTCAAGATATATAAAAAAGGGAGAAAAATATCACACGTCTATGGAAGCTGATTAAGCCATCTCAACATTTTAACTTTTGTAGTGATGTAGTAATGACTGAGGTTCGGGTCCCCAAAAAAACAAAGGCAAATGAACGTCGCATTTGTTAACACCCGGAAGCGCACGTCTGTTAGGACCACTCCTGTCACAAGACACCAACCACTGACTCCACAATCCCTTCCGACGCCATGTCGTCTCCTTCTGCCATATCGTCACCGTGTGGATCTCCACATTGCACTGCTCCCTCACTCCCAGTGAATACCCTTGTACTTCTGCTCCTGGCACGATTTATCGTTCAGAGCGTTCTAACGGACTGATTCCTTACTGACGGGTGCGCTTTCACTGATTATTATCTTACTGATCGGTCCCCGTTCTCACTGACTGGTTTATTATTGACTGGACTCTTATTGACTGGTCCCGGAGCTGCGCTTCCGCCGTCCATTTATAGGCAGCGATCCCGTTATTTCCCTTTTTGATCGGGCTCAAGGTCTAACAGTGTTCCGTTAGTTTACGGTGCGTCCTCTTTGTGCTCACCTAAAGTCTGCACCGTGACCGTTCGTCCTCTGCGCCCTTCGCCGCCTGGACTCCAAGGTCCAGCGCCGTTTCCGTTTGTTACGGTCTTTCTGCTTTGCCGTTGTCCAAGGACTATTATTTCCCGTTTGACCTGGCTGCCCTTGACTCCTGCCGCATTCCAGCCTCCTCTGTTGCTACTTTGTTCTCTGTTGCTACGTCGCTCTCCTGCACCTTGACCTTGTTTTAAGACTCCTCACAATGCCGTTTAAAGTTTGCGGTCAAGAAAAAAATACTCGCTCGGCGAGTTAGCACCAGTCCATTTGGAATGCAATTTCTAAATTAGCTTTAACACGATATACCTATCGATTAAAAAATCAATTTTTTTAAGTGTCGGAAGGTAGTTTCCTACTTCACGACACTTCAGCTGTGCAATAATTTCATTCGTTATCTATGCAGAAAAGCTGCGGAAGCATCTAAGCTCGCCTTTCTCTATCTTGCTCTCTCTTGTACACACGCCTGCACCTTTGGTTCTGCAATAAAGTCTCTCATTATATTAATATATTAATTCGAAATCGATATGCTTGTATACTTATATCGTATATAAGTATAAGTACGATATAAATCGTCGCCTCATTTCTTAAAAATAGCTAATAAAAAAGCTTTTTAGCTCAACAAGTAATAAAATCCTGGTTACAAATACTAAACCGTGGCGTTACATTACAATTGCTTAAATATTGATCGTTACAATCCGATCCGCGACTTCCCCACCCCCGTGATGCAGCTGCATTCACCATGTCCAGAAGAACTAACTTGGACGTATGATTAATTTGGGTCGATCATTGCTGATCGCAGCTTCTCCTGGTACTCCTATGTACATTTCCTCCATAACGCCCTTCCTCCAATCTGTACAAGGAATGGCCGGATCACAGATGTACACCAGATTCCCGCGACGTATAGGCTCGCCGTACTCACACCACTTCTCATCGCGGTCCAGCATGTTTGCTCATTGCTTCCAGAATCGGTCTCTTAAAATACGATACGCCAGGCAGTTAAAGATAGCTCGTCCTGAATCCTCTCTGACTCGAAGATTTCATCGAACCTCTTAGCTTCACGTTTGGCTTCAATGAAATTCTTCCTGTTGACGCTCCTCAAGCTGGCCACTGCCGGTCACAATGTAGCAACTAAAGAATTCTAGCCGGTCAAATGTTGATATCACGAGGCTCAGGAATTCTCTCTTGGTGAGAACGAGATTTCTAGTCATCACGCGGCTGGGATCCCGGTGGTACTTTATACTGAATTTAAAGTCATCCGTC